AGCCTGAACTGCATAGCGAGACCTGTCTCAAAATAAATATATCAGTGAGCCATTGAGTTCTAGTGGTATTGGGGAAAGAAATGATAATGAACTGAACTACAGCAATAATAGGAGCAAAATGAAGGATGAACTTGAGATATTTTTGATAAATTTGAGACAGTTTGAGATTGTATCTATGAGTAAAACTGGCAGGAGTCGCTCATGGTCTGGACCGGGAGATGTGGAGAGTTCGAAACCACTCCAAGATCTCCAAATCAGGTGAATGGCTGGGCAGCTGTGTCCTTAAAATTAAAAAAAAAAAAAAACAGGGAAGATTTCAAAAATGATGACTAAGTTCATTTTGGATATGAGGAGTTCTTGTTGTTGTTTTGTTTTGTTTTAGACAGCGTCTTGCTGTGTAGTGCAGGCTGGCTTTGAACTCACTTAATAGCCCAGAGTGGCCTCGAACTCATGGCAATCCTCCTGCCTCAGCCTCCCAAGTGCTGGGATTACAGGTATGCACCACCACGCCTGGTTTGGGGGTATTTTTAAATGTGTACCTCCCACATGTACGGGAGTACACAGGTGCACTACTCTCAAAAGCTTTGATCGTGGTATATTGATCTGGGAATCATCGGCCCATGGCAATACTTTAACAACATAGGCATGGACAAAGTTAGTTGGAAAGTATTATACAATGAGAGGAGCATTGTGCTGAGGGCTTCTGAAGAACTCTAAGGAAAATCAACCTTCAAGGAAGACAGGCCCTTAAGGAAGTCAAAAAAAGAATACTCATAAAAACATAAATTTTCAGAATTTGGAGTTTGAGAAGTCAAGAGAGCATCTTAAAGGTGCAGATGACTGGCCATTGAGAAGTACCATTTAGTCTGGTAAATACTAGATAAACGCGCTGGATGTAACAGTCAGGTCATCCCTGATGCTGGAAGTTAGCATACGAGTAGAGGGAAAACTATTCATTACACAATGATTGAAAGAGTGAATGAGCACACAAAATGGCTGGATTACACCCCATTATACACCCCATCCACACATTCCAAGATAACAAAAACAAAATGGAAAGATAAGAGCTAAATGCAGCAGTGCTCCAGGCAGGCAACGTTGGTGAAGTAACAGCCACTGTGAAGTCAGCGGAGATTTGCTGGGCTTGAAAATAGAAATGATTATAATTCCCAGAAGAATTTTCTAAGACCAGCTCTGTGAAACAAAGTGTGCTATTGGATGTCCGATTAAGTGAAAAAAGATTCCCCATAGGCAACCTGAGGGGCATGTAGCATTTGCTCTCAATCACAAGAATTGATAGTGAAAATGCAGTCTACCAGGGGCAGGCGCATGGAGCATGTCACAACACACCATTTGGCTCGTTGAAAAACATCAAATACATAAATCAGTGCCCAGGAGGAACTAGGTAAAATAAGCAGTACAGGGACAAGAAACCTGTGGGTAGCTCTGTGGCTCCAGCACTAATTTGTCCACTAACAACTCAATCTATTCATAATTCATTAAAAGTGAACACTTAAAGTCAATTAGAAACAGCATTTCAAGGCCTTAGATCAGATCATTTGATAATGTATGCATGTCTTGTTTTTCAGTAAAGTAACCCACAAAGATTTCAAATTTAGTATTTCCTTTCACTTAGTTTTTCAAAACACTTATCTGAAATGATGAATACATAAATATTTTCAAATGGGCAATAATAAGTAGAGAAAATTAATTTAAAATTTCACATGGCATTTTTGTCCAGTAGTGATGAATACTTGTTTGAGGATGAAGAACTGTTTATCCAGTCAAAACCTCACTATGCATTATCCACTATGTGCACGGCTCTATATGAAGCTTACATGATGGGCTGTGGAGATATGGAGAGAAAAATGACACATTCCCTATGTCTTGTTTATGGTATTTGGGGGAAACAGTGCCAGAAAATTACTACATAAAAGCTAAAGTGAAAGAAAAAGGAAAGCTAAAATGGAACAAATAATTGTAAGAGTAAATAATTGTAAGGACAGACTTCTCTAGGGGAATAGAAGTAGAGCAGAATTTTTTAAAAGATGCACATTGAAATACTGAGTACTAAAAGGACTGGGTGTGCTGGTGTAATTGGTTTTGCTTTTGAAAGTCACAAAGTGCATATTTGTTAACTGTTAACTGAGCTTTATGGCAGGCCATTTTTTAGCCAGGGGTGTGGGTAGAGTGGCCTACAGGCAGATCCATGATAAGCCCTGAGTGACTTATGCAGACTCTGTACTCATAAGATTGCTTCAGGAATGAACCCACCGTGGTAAGAATTCCAGAAGGGGTAAACAATGGCTTCTGCATTCTGGACCTTCATAGCAAAGGTTCTTTTTCTAAATGTGGACAAGCAGGGAACAGTGACACTCCAGGAGCTGCTGGCAGCTATCTTCCACAAGTAAGAAAGGAAATTAGCACTGAAGAGGCAAAGTAGAAAAATGGAATGAACTGAGTGCTAGGCATGTCATAGAGCCCTGAATCAAGTTATGCTTTATAATTATGTGTGCAAAGTCCTTTTATTGTAAACAGATTCAGTTATGTAATCTACATGTATCTTGAAACCAAGAGAATCATAACATACCTATTTACAAAGTAATATAAATGAAATCTAGGGGAATACATTTTTCCTGAAACCCACTCTCTTAACATAACAAGCCCATTCAGTATCGACATAAATACCTTAAATGATGGGAAATGTCCAATATCATGTAACATGCAAAATTGTAACACAAAACAACTCTTTCTAGAGCAGGTGTAGATGTAAATGCTTTATAAATAAGATGAGAATTTAACCTACCATTCTATAGTGGGGTTAAATGCCCCACTTTCATAGTGTTGTCCACTGTGAGTGTAGAGAATCTGAGAAATGAACACAAACCAGAAGAAGCTAAAGATGAAGCCCTGTGGGGACTTTTTAAAATAAGAGGTACAATAAAAGAAAGTGACTTGATGTCACATACCAGCCTCTGAAGATCAAATGAGAATTGAAAAAGGCAGTAGATAATCTATTCAATATGTAACTGATGTTGTAATTAAATCACCAACTATTTAGGAATTATTAGTAGTGAGTTTCCCACCTTTCACTTTTAGTATTCTATTTCCAATTTTGATTACACCGATGTACAGTATCTATGTGTATAGTGACTGCAGGCATAGTGGTACCTGGTTACAACCTCAGCAGTCTGAGAGACTGAGACAGGAGGATCACAAGTTGGAGCTCAGCCTAAGCAACTGAGTTACCTGGCCAGACCCTGTATCAAAATATGAAATGTAAAAAGGAGTGGGGATATAGCTCAGTGTGAAGGCCCTGGGTTCATTGTCCAGTACTGAAAAAAATGTATACAGTGGTAGCAGACAGGCAGTACAAAGGGCACGGGGCCCTACTGCCCAGGGGCCTTGACTAAGCAGAGGATAGAACAGAGTGAAAAAGTCCTGCTGGATTCAATGATCTGCCTCACTCCATCTTTTTAAAATTACTTTTTCTTAAATTTTAAAATAGTGATAGCTGCCTGCCAAGTTGTGAATGTGGTACAGAGAGGGGTCTACCCCTCCCCCAGTTTGCCCCAAGGCTTGCATCTTACATCTCACATACTTACACTACAACATGGAAAACGGTAATTTGACACTGAGACAATGCATGTGTAGTTTTGTGATATCACATGTAAATTTAAATTTCTGTATCTAACATGATCAAGATACACAACTATTACTTTACTACAAAGATCTCCTTTGTTTGGTCCCTTTCTAGTCACTTCCACATTCTCATTCCCAAGTTTGCACTCTTCCTAGATGATATGGCGCTCATTTTCTACTGAAATCTCCTGTCTGTTCCATTTCTGTAAAGCACAGTCCCCATCCTTGGGTGCAACAGCCTTCCAGTGGACTCATCCTCAGTTTCAAAAATAGTGCAGTAAACTGAAACTTGTGAAATTACTTCCTCTGAAGTATGGTGGGGAAGTGGGGTCGACTTGTGAATTCTTTTTTACCTGATTCTTCATTTTTGGTGATTTCAACTTTTGTGTCATCTTTCCATAGCTTTCCCTAAATTCTCTCCTTAGAGTACCAGATTTAAACTGTTACAAGATTAACAGTCTTCAGTTCTTAACTTACTATTAAAAAAAAAAATTTTGCAAAATAGGAATCCAATATATCGAGATTTCCAATGGACCAGTGGGGTTGTTTCACGAGAAAATGAAAGCGTGATACGTGTTACATGGTGAAGGAAGGTCCTATGAAAAGCATTCCGATGACCTATGGTGGCTTAGTCACTCTGCCGTTCAACTGAAGGCTCTGCTTTTGCCCTCACGGATCAATTCCCGCTTTCAGTTCTTCCTGTGGAAGAACACAGGCCTCCTCCTCATAAGACCTAGATTGGGGGCTGAGGGTGGCCGTGCTGTTAATTTAATCCTAACACCCAGAAATTACTTCTTGGGTTTGTGCTACTTTTCTCAAATTCAAGGTTTTGGAGGCATCAGGGTAACTTTCATCTTGCAGACAGGTAATACAACTTTAGTTTGGATCCTGCAAAAACTCAGCAACATGAAAACCTTTGTATTCAGTGTGCATTTTGTTCGGGCTTTCAAGCTGGGATGGGCCAGTCAAGCTATGAAGGCTGTGCTTTCCAACTCTGTTCCTAAAACATACTCTCCACAAACACTCAGCGTTTTCTGCATAGGCCCAAGGTGGTCAGTAAGACATCCCACTTTCTACGATTTTAACAGTGGAGGCGATTATGATCTAGTCTAGTACGACATGCGAAAAGAACGTCCACCTTCATTTCAAGAAAAGAATAGCGTAGGATTAGGTACAGAGACAGGGAATCAGAAAGTTGTTCCTGCGGCCAGCCTCATCCGTGGCCTTAATCCATTTATGCCAAAGACTTTATTATTTTTTTTAAATTTACATGAAATTTAGATAACTAAAAAGATTCAAGAAATAATCTGAGAACACATTTATGTTCCACTGCTACGGGCTTTCCAACAACGGATCACTAGGCATTGCAGAGTTAACAGACCATTTTAAACCGAAAGTGGTGGTTTCGGTGGAAAACAGCTGTTTTCCCTGCACGGTGAGAGGCTGAGGCAGGAGGGTCGCAAACTGGAACCATACCTGGGCTATTTAGCGACTTAATCAGACGCTGTCTCAAAAATAAAAAGTGAAAAGGGGCTGGAGTCGTGGCTCCGTGCTAAGGTCGGAGGTGCCAAGACATAGACACACGCACACACAGAATATTCTATTTCCGCACAGGGCCTGGCAGTGGAGGCTGCGGGATCGAGCCCCGAGCCCCGGGCCCCGAGAGCTCGCGTCCCGCCCCGCCTCCCACACGGCGGCGGCCATGGCGGCCGGGCGGATCCGGGCGCTGGCGGGCGCCGCGCTCCACGGGCGCGCTCCCTCCGCCCAGCTGCCACGTCCTCTCCGCGTCGCCATGGGGTCCCGACAGCAGCAGGGCTTAACCCTCGGCGGGGCCTCCGAGGGAGGGCGCGGCGGCTCCACGCCTGGGCCGCAGGACGCGCCCCAGAGCCTGGGGAGACGCCCGGCGAGCGAGGGGTTAACGGCGGCGGAGCGGCGCATCTTGGAGCTGCACGAGACGGCCTGCGCGGTGAGACTTCCTAGGGCCCCGGCCACCACGGCCGCTCGCTGTGCGCCTGCGCGGTGAGGCTCCCGGACCGCTCCGCCCACCACGGTCGCTCCCTGTGCGCCTGCGCGGTGAGGCTCCCGGCCCTCCCGGCCCACCGCGGCCGCTCGGTGTGCGCCTGCGTCTGCGGCCCCGGGCCAGTCCCGCAGAGGGGGCGGGAAGCGGCCGGGTTCCGCGGGGGCTTGGGCTCCTGCTCCCCAGGACCTTAGTTCTGGAGACTTGGCCACGGTGTCGCGCTGGGCAAACGGCTGACTGTGTGTCTGTCTCGAGTGAGGGTGGGGCTCGTTTTCTGATCACCTGGTCGTAGTGTGGACCCTGCCACCAAGCGCACTCCCGCGTTTGTGTGTGTGTGTGTGAGCGCGCGCGCGCGTGTGAGTGACGGGGCGGGGGTGGAACTGAACAATTGATGGAGGTGGAAGAACTTGGAAGACTTAGTGCTGTACAAATATCTTGTACCTGCATTATCACTTAAACACTTTGGTCTCCAGTGATTTTTAGAATGAAAAAGAAAAAGAGGACAAATTCGTTTTAAATGTTGTTCTGGCGATCTGGTTCTTCCTGCACTCCGAGGGAGCAGAGCACACTGTAGTCAGGAGCCTCGTCTTAGGCTTTGGAGCTATGTTTTCTTGTGTTCTGTGGATCTGGCAGTCCCCAGCAGCATCTAAACTCAGCGTCCCCAACACTTAAACGACTTGAGTTTGAAGGTAGCATATATACATTTTTATAACCTTTATGAAAGAAACAATGATAAAAGGAGAAACAGTTCTATAATAAGATGGATAAATAATATGAAATGAATCTATTTAGTGATCTGCATAGGCACGTGACCAGGGCTTGATAGGACTAGTATTATATGGAGTCACTTCTGAAGAAAGCCTGGGAGGTTGCCCAGAATGGACTGTTTATATTTTTATTGATGATTAGAAGACCAGATAATCCAATCTCTGGCCCATTCAAGTGTGAAACAATAAAATTTCATCGGAACAACTGGCAACTTTCTATTTTTTTTCCTCCCCTGATACTGGGGGCTGAATCCAGGGCCTTCCTACTCACTGAGCTACATCTTTAGCGCCCCCCCCCCTTTTAATTTTGAGACAGGGTCTCCCTCTAAGTGGTTAAGTTGCCTAGACCGGACTCAAACTTGCATTCCTCTTGCTTCAGCTTTCCAGAGTGCTGGGTTTTTACTCCATGGCGCTACACCAGGCTTGATCTTGTTTATACGCTTCCTTGAAAAATAGTACGTGTAATTTGTTGCCACATTTAACCATATAAAAATGGTGACTATAAGCCAAAAGTTTGTTTTTAGAGCAAACACCAGCAGCATGTAAAAACAGGTTCAATCGGCAGGAAGAAAGAAATGAACTTTTTCTTACCCAGGAAATCCACAGTTGTTTCATCAGTGTGAGTGTCAGAGGTTAAATGACTTCCACGAGATCATAAGTGCACGCAGAGAGAAGCTAGTGGTTCCTGTTCAGCAAACCGGAGCTTCCTTCTTCTACACCTCGAGGTAGAGAGCTCCCTTAACTTTTCTTCCTGCTCTGATGGGCATCCCTGAATGGCTTGCCCTCCAGTCCAGCTATCAACACTTACGGATCTCTGTTGCCACCATTGTGTGGGACTCCTTTGCTGAGGACCAAATGCATTTGCATGAGCAGCCAACAAGCTCACAAAAAAAAAAAAAAAAAAAAAAAAAAAAAAAAGGCAATGTTGAAGAGGGACACGCATGCGCACGAGCAGGATGTTAGGTTGGGGAGATAACTGCCTTCCTAATCACCCAGAAACTGTGACAAGTGAAAGAGGGCTGCTATGACGCTCTCAGTGTTTTGTTTCCCTCCCAAGTTTCGAAACACGGACTTTATAAATAAAGGAGTGAAGGTCCTCTAAAGTGGTGTGTAGTGTGCTCAGTCCTGGGTAAGCTGTTTCTGTGGTCCCAGTGGGCTTGGGAGGGTTCGGCAACCAGCCTTGGAGGCTTGCTGGGTTCCTGCTTCCTTGGTCTAGCTTTGCTGAGATGCCTTAGCTGGAACCTGGACCTGAACTTTGATCCTTACCGGTCCTTCCTTTTTTTTTTTTTTTTTTATGCACAAAATACAGTTGATATCCAGCCATTAAATAAGACGTTGATCTACTGAAGAAGTTTTTCATGACTCATTTAAAAGCATGTCAGCATACACGCTAGTTTAATGTGTACTTTATTGAAAGGTACTATATAAGCGCATATGGTAAAAACGTTATTTTTTTTTAAAGGCCAGGGGAAAGTTCCACTACAGAATTTCAAGAATAAGTAATATCACTGAAATTTCTCAGGTCCACAGAAGTTATTTACTTTTACCTTCACCCAAAGTATTTGGAATGCTTGTTTAAAAAAAAACCATGTGTGAATGTAGGTAGAACAATGCTTCCTTGATTACAGTGATACACTAGAAGTTGCTTTTGATGAAGCTTTGAGGAAGCAGTAATTCTTAATACGTTAAAACCACTTTTTTTACTTAAAAGAAAATTTAAAACACTCTAGAAAAAAAGGAAAATAGTGTGAAACATGCAATAGAGTAACATCATGAAGGTAAAGAAAAGTTCAATAATGGCAAAAGTAATACTCTATGAGGACGGTTGGTTTTGATTAGCACCTTTTCTGTAAGTTTAAATCATTATCCACATATTTTCAGAACTGAAATTGCAACTGCAACTTCTGAGTGAAAGTTCATTTTCAGCCTCTTAAGCTCTTAAAATCACTTAAATCACCTGTTATTGAGCTTGCTACCTAGAAACTGAATGAAAAATATCAGGGCAGTCACTAATAGTTACTGGGTATAGAGGGGTTCTTGTTTTTCCATCAACTTTTCATTTTCCCAACTTGTATATTTTCTCCTGTAGTCACATAAAGTTGAATCATAGTATATGTTGGAATGCATTCAATCTTTCATTGAAAATGCCACTAAAATTGATGGGAAGAAGTTTAATTTCTTTACAATGTTTTACAGCACTTCAGGAGTAGAAATTGTGTTGAGATAGGATGAACGCTGAGATGAATGAATTATCCTTTCACCCTTTAGGCCGGCCAGTTCAACTATGTGGACCCAGCTACTGGTTTCATGGTCCTCACCAGGCTGGCCCACTTGAAGAGGGGCGCCTGCTGTGGCTCCGCCTGCAGACACGTGAGTAACAGTTTGCCTTGTAACAGCAGTTTGCGGTGCTTCTATAACTTCATAAAGACCTGTTATTTGAACAACAAGTCAAATAAAAAAGCTAAATAGACCTGGAGTGCACTTTTCACAAGCTACTTCAGCCAAGGACAATGAAGTCCTTAGTACCAACATAGGACCTTTAAAGTTAATGGAATTTGGTAATGTTTCATTGTAAGCATCAGTCCCTAAACATGCTGCCACTAGTAATTCACGGGAGCTCTTTATTACAAGAAAACTTTTCATGAGGTTCCAAATAAGTCATGTTCACTGGGCAAGTACAAAGAAGGCAGGAAAAGAAATCAAGGATGTGGCAAACTAGTTGCCAAGAAGCATTTTCTTCATTATTAACTAAATAAATAGAAATTGGCCCAGCATTAAGAGGTAAGAGGTGGGTTGCCTTCAAATGATACATGTTTCTTCCTTTCTTTCCCTTCCTTCCTATCCCCTCCAGTCCCCTTCCCCTCTCTGTCTCTCTCTCCCTCCCTCCCCTTCCCTCTCTCTAGCATTTTTTCTAGTTCTTTATGTTTAAAACATCTATGAAGCTAAATTTCCCCAAATTTAGTACTATACATTTCCTAATATTTTTATATTGATAGATAATATCTCTATTTTACTGCTTAAGATAAACTAGTTCCTCCTTCCTATGTTGGGAGCAAAGAAATATGAATGAGTTTTTTGCTATTAAAAAACATAGCATGAAGGTAAATTGCTATAGGGTTAAGATTATAAACCAATAACCTGTTTACAGAACATTTTATTTGTTGCAAAAAAGTATTACTTCCTTTAACTGAACGGCTTCTTAATTAAAGGATAGACACTAAGTGTATGTATTTACTGTAGCCTTATTGAAAACTTCAACCTTCACTTTTATGTATGGTCCTGCTTGTGGTATTAATGCTGTTTTTAATCAAATACATAACAGCTTTGTGTAAATTGAGGACTTGGGATGTTCTAAGTGGATATTTGACAGTGAAGTTCTTAAAGTTGGAAGGATGCTTTTAGGAAATGTTTCTTGAACCCTAATTAGGACCATTTGCTGAAAGTTGCCATTCTTCTCTTCTTGGTCTGCAGCACTTGATAAAGCAAATGATGTATATGATGTTCTCAGCAGTCTCTTTTTTCACTTGCAAAGAAGTGCGTTTTTTAAGATGATTGTTCAGTAATTTAATAATTATACGTTTTATTTCTTCTGCAGTGTCCATATGGTCAAGTCAATGTTAAAGATCCAGCTAAAAAGAAGCAATTCAATTCACATTTTTATGTTTGACCATGAGCCTTGATTGAGAAATGATCTCTGATTGAACTTGTACTTAAAAATAAATGTCTAATTCAGAATTGCTCTCTATGTCCTTTGTATTGGAATACAAGGTTCATCTTAAATACACATATTAAAAGGACATCAGTGGAAAACTAACAAATGTATATTCTGAAGTAGCACAGTGATAATCATTTTCCTTCCTTCTTTGCTTCATTGTCAGACACATACGTTAAGGAAAGAAAATAATGATTATTCTATTAAATAAAAATAGCAACTGGGTCACATGAGTAGCTCTTGCTGTCTCTTAGCCTTGTTCTCCTACTGCTTTTTCTTATCAGTGTTAGCAGTCAAGGGTGGATGCTGGCCAACAGAAGGGCATTTGTTCATGTTATTAATATCGAGTACTAGGAGATTGATACGATGCAATTTTGTGCAGCATATGAATGCCCAAGAAATGCTCTCATCTTCCATCTGTACTTTTAATAAAAACCTTAAATCATATTGACTTGGAGGTTGGGCCACTGAAGACACCTAACTGACCATTCTTTCTTCCTTGCTCACCAATTTCTTTTGACACTTGGAGGGTAAATCTACCTTTGACTGTTTCATTAGCTTTGCAATCACAGTGTTCACTATGGTGATGCCTTCATGAGGTGTCAGTCCCCAAACTGAGTCAGGAGCTCACAGGCACTCTTTTTTCCATGCCTTTTCTGTTTCTCCATGATGACAGCAGTCCCCAGGAGACCCTTTCTTAGCCAACGGGTATTGTCCAGTAAAATGAGCCTTCTGCCTCCTAGGAAAGATGGCCTTGCCTGGAGCTGACTTTCTGCCTTTTCCTGGTAGAATCTGAAAGGTTCTTGAAGACCTCAGTCGCCTCCCAAAATTGTTGGTGTTTTTACACCAACAGAAGTGCTCCTTCTGTTCCTCCTGGTACCCTAACCATGGTACCCTAAACAACCCTTCCCATGGCATAAGTGATGTCAGCAGCTTCCTTCCATTCAAAAGAGCCATTACACTCAAAAAGAGTTTTTGACTGGAATTGTCCTACCTACAAATTACTTTGCAGGAGGGAGTAGGAAAAAGTGATCAGCACTGTGATTGGGGAGGCAGTTAATCTTTCCACCGCCTGGCAAGTGTGAGAATCTGAGTTCAATTCCTGATACCCACCCCCTAAATCTTTCCAGAAAGGAACAAGGATGCAGCAGGCCTATTTCTTTTTCCATTCTTAGATCAAGAAGCAGCCAGTTATTTCCACTTTTTTCCCACTAGATTTGAAGATTAACAAGGCCATTTTTCTGGGTGGAGGGTAGATGATGCTTTCCTCATCAGCCCCAAGAAGAAGAGAAGGAAAGAGAGCCTGAAAAAGTCGTCTTTCTAGAGAAAAAGAGAATCAGCCATCATGAGGGACCCATGTATGGAACACTTGCCTTCCTTGGCAGAACACTGAACCTTGGTGGCAAGAGAGCAATGGAGCTGCTGGTCAGGAAGTGGGGCAGGAGGAAGGTCTGAAATTCACAGTGGTTCTGGAGAGATGCATCTGAACCACACATCAGGGGTAGCAGCCAGGCGGTGCTCCCACATTAAACACAATATGGCCACATAAATAGATCTTACTGCAAAAAGCTTTAAGCTATATTGTATTCACACATTGTAAAGTAAAAATGCAGGTTTCTTATGAGGTGTGTGTATACAGACACATGTGGTGGCTGGAAAATAGAGACTTCCCATTTAAATCAACTCATGCTACTCAGCTTTCAGGGTTTCTGGAGACTCCTGCCCCAGAAGCAATGAATTGAGGGAGTCTGATTTCTAGATTGCTTCTACCATAGAATGGTCTAACAGAACCTAGGGTTGCCAAGGCAGTGGGTAGGGATGGATTCCTGCTGCCCTGTGGTTTTTCGCGTAGCTGGGGAAAGGCCCTGCCCTATGTGGTCCTCCAGCGGTGGGATCCTGGTGCATAATCAGCTAGGGAGGAAGAGGAGGGCTTTTATTTTTCTGAGTGGCTCCCAAACAAGGTGGGTTTGGGACAGGACCTGGGAAGTGTCTTTGCTTCAGCATATTTTTCCCTCCAAAGATGCTCTCAAAGTCAATTTCAAAGGTACAGGTTTACTGTCAAAAAGTGACAGGCCTTAGGTTCATCTCTAGACAAGGCTGGGAAGGGGGCTTCCTACATACCATAGATAAATGGAAGTGCCTATGAGCACAGCCCCTGGCCAGCCCACAAGGAAACTTGCACTCCACTCCTTGCCTATCCCTGCTACTCCATCTTCTCTACATCCCAGCAATGACTTGAGTTTGTGGGCTGACACCCATCCAGCCAGGGAGAAGACTTAAAACTCAGTGCTATTTTGTCTTCACTGAAACAATTAAGAGGCCCCGCTGGTGCTAAAACTATCTTCTCCCTTCAAAAACAAAAAAATTGGGTATTTTGCATCAGGGTGTGTGCCCTGCTAATCACCTCTGGAGAACCTGGCTTCTGAGAAAAGACTTGGAAAGAAGGAAGAAGCCTCAGCTGTCTTCAGCCAGAGACTAGGTTGTCCCCAGAGCCCCCAGTCTACTCTGCACCTCTGGGGCCCAAGTGTGCCTAAGTGCTGTATTGATTCTCATCCCCGCAGTTTTGATTTAGGATTCCTGACACCAAATGCGTAGTCTTAGGGTCCTGCTTGCTGGGCTTAGGGTAGAAAAGCCAACGTTAACCCAGAGGTATGGACTGTAGGGAGATTTGAAGGTCACTAACAACCACATCCACCTGAAATTTATACGCTAAAGTGTGAGTTCAGATGTGTGCGTCAGTGTAGCTGTGTGCACCAAAGTATGTGTGCGTGTATGTGCAGAATGCATATCATTATCAAATATCTAGGAGTCTGTGAGTTGAAAGAGGTTTATGTCCGCTGCTTGCGCAAGATTGAGCTGAGAGAACCCAGGCGTTTGGGGCTTGTTACTGCCGTCCACCTATTTGATGGCCTCGCTGAAGGGCTTAGAAACTGATCCCCAGAACCTTATCCTTTCCTGGCGGAGAGCACGGACTCACAACAGAAATACTGAAGGAAAAAGCTGAGGCCAGGATGGGAAGGGGCAAGTCTGGCACCGGAAGCTTAAAAGGTAAACCGGTGGGAGGGATTGGTTGGCGGGACTAGTTCTTGAGACCAAGGTAGAAAAAGAAACTGTCCTGACTGCTGTGTGCGATATCCAGGATTTGGGATGAAAGGAGAAAGCCGGGGGCCTCAGATTTGCAGTTCTTGGGCTACCCTTTGCCTCCACTCAACTGCGCGTCGAGCTTGCAGGGTGGTGGCTTCCATCCTGCGCTGCCCCAGGTGTCACCCCCGATCCCGCGCTGCGGTCCCTGGAGTATGGGAGGTGCACAGGCGCCCCCGCCCATCGCATTCTCTGCCCACGGAGCCCTCGGCCCACGCACAGCCGTGGAGCAGCTACCGTGGCACTGGAGAAGAGGAGAGGCGGGTGGGGAGGGCGGCACCGGCACCTGGACCAGCGTTCTGAAGCTGCCAATCTCACTGCGCACACCTCCTTCCCCACTGGCTTGGGAGCCGAGCAGTAATCGCGCGCCTCCCCATCTCCCACGGTGAGGGGCGCACCTGGTGCGGAATGGGTAAATAATTGGCCAGAGGCCTAGCTTCTCAATTCTCCCTCCACTTCCAGCGGCCTGACTCCGCCCGGGGCGACGCAGCCCCTCCGGAGCCTGAGACCAGGTAACAGGACCCTTGCCCCGTGCCCGGTCCGAGTCCATTCCTGCGAATACTCGTCTGCCGAGGTTTGAGTGCAGGTCTTCTTCCGGAAGATTAATCACCACCCACTCTCTAGTAGGAGCCTGAGCTGGAGAGCTCTGACCCAGGCAGGAACGCTGCCCTCCAACGCAGAATGCTTTGCAGCGCACTGGGTTCCGGGTGTCCTGGTTAAGAGCGCGGAAGAGCTCTGACGGGAGGCGGGGAGGAGGTGGATGAGCAATGAATGGCTTAGCCCCGTTTTCCCGCAGGAGCTACCGCCCATTCACGGTCTATGCAGGCACCAGCTGGCGGCAGCATCTTTTAGGTTCGAGCTCCTGGAAGGCGAAGGCTGGCTAGGGGGCCAGGAGCCCATAGGGCACACCGCGGGACTCCCAGCCCCCAGACTACTCCCGGCTGCGCCCGGCTTCAAGACGCTCTCGGCTTTATGAGGCTCGGTTACCGCGGAGTCCTCCATTAACACCTCCTCTGGTTATTTAGAGGCTGTAAGGGCTGGACCAGCCTCAGAGCGCGTGTCGGGGCACCGGCCCACGTCGTACCCTCTGCCCTGTCCTCCCTCCTCCTCCGTCCGATTTGAAAGCACAAACAGAAAATAAAAGACAGGTGGAGGGAGCCGAAGGTCAGAGGTGAGGCATTCAGGTCAGTTCTGATGGGGGGATGAATTTCCACCCAGCGGTCCTCAGTGTGCTTATTTATCTGTTTGCGTTAACAGAGGGACTTCTGGCTAGACTCGGGGACTGGCCCGCACCTTTGGCCGACACCTCCCACCCTCCAAGCGCCCAGCACCAAATTCCTGGGGGAAATATCTGACATCTGGACATCAAGGTAAGACCCCCGATAGGGGTGGCCGAGTCGGAGCAGTCTCCTGTGCTCGGAGCGCGCCCGGAGTGCCAGGAGCTCTGGCGTCTCAGGAGCCCACCGGAGCACAGCCCAGCTTTGCCCGAAGCCACGTCGGTGCCTGAGGTCCCTGCGGGACCAGCGGTTCCGACCGCCCCACCAGATGGGAGGAGGCGCTTGGGGAACCCGGCCTGCACTGCCCGGCTGACGTGCGGCTTTTTTTCTATCAGTGCAACCACTACCACCAGACAGCGTAATCAACTCCTTTCGCTCTAAGAATGCTGAACGGCACCACGCTAGAGGCAGGTGAGCTGTGGACCAGGTTCCTTCGTCCTTCGTTTCTCTCGCTCCTTTCCTTGGACATGCGTGCAAATCCTGTGTGTGCGCGCGTGTGTGTGTGTGCCCGCGTGAGCGTGCCTTCGTGGAGTCGAAGAGAAGCGTGTCTCTTAAAATGTAAACGCTTAGGGAGGCTCGAACACAGTGTCTGGTTCAGGTTCTCCTGACGGACTGGACTCCTGAAACCTGCGTTTTCTTCAATTTGCTTTTCTCTTGAGTGTCCTCGACTCTCCTCAGGATACGGGTCCGGGCTCCGGGCGCCGGCAGAGGTCACGGAGCCACCGAGCCTGCGGCAGCTGCAGGCGCGGGACGCCCTTTGGGCCCTCGGAGCTGCTCTGGGCGTCTCCTCGCTGGGAACTTGGGGGACAGGTCGGAAAGACTACCTTTCTCACCCTTCCAGGGTTTCACAGAAAACTGCCCTCACACACATTTGTTGTTGTGTTCAATCCTAATCCAGCGCAGCCCTTTCTGCGCGTGGCCTCAGAGGAGCCGCTTAGGATTCGCCCCTTATTTTGGGGAGGGGAAGGCCAGTGGCGCACCAACGCTCAGGCAGGTTTCAGAAGCACAACATTCTAGACCTGGGAGCTGAGCTGAGTTGGAGAAAAAACTCAGGGGTCGGGGAGGGCAAGGACTTGAAGACAGCGAGCAGCCAGCGCTGGCTTTGCGCGCACGGAGGGGTGTGTGGACGCAGAGCTGGTAGATGGACCGCGGGGCCCCGACCCTGAGTCCAGCGGAGCCAGCAGCTCTTAAAGGTGCGCCGCGGGGGTGCGGGCCGAGAGTCTCGGTCTCCGGGCAATCTCACTCCCCCTGCCCTGGCTCGCGGAAGCCTTCCCGAGTACATCCGAGGTGCGCCCCTGCGGCTGCACAAGCCTGAATTTGACAATTTCGGTTTGGGAAAGGTTTGTATATAGAGAAACCTCTGTCTCCACTGTTAACAGAAAAGCCCCGGCTCCTCTTGGCAGTCCTCTGCTCCCCAGCCCAGCGCAGGCCGGACCTTCAAAGCCGGTGGCACTGCGTGGAGCGCGTGGTTCCTAGCTCACGACGCTAACTGCCCCAGGCTTCGGCGGTGCTCCTGTAAATGTCAAAAGTTGGACAAGATTTCAAGCGCTGCACCTTTCAGACCAAAATGGTTTTTACTACGAGCACAGGATTATGGCTTCGAAATTCAGGTCTGGTCGAAAGCAAACTTGAGTCACTTATGTTATCAAGAGATGCACATTTACAGTTACTCCAGTGTCATCTGGTCCCTGGGCAGAGCCATGCAACCCTTTACTACCCCTCTGCGGAGCTTGACCGGGCCTGGGCACTTTTCTCAGGTGGAACTGCCTGGGATGAGGACGCTCGGGTCTCACTGACCCTAGTGGAAATTCTAAATTCTGGAACTCTTAATCTAAAATCCTCTACTCCACCGGAGTTCAGCCTCTTTCTCGCTTTCCTGAAAGCGGCAGTAGTAGCCACATGGGGGCTGGTGCAGTAGAAAGGAAATAGAGCCCAGTGGATTGCATGTGCCCATTGCTCATGACCATGCTTTACATCCAGAGGGGAGCCCCTCCCCCAGCCTGCCTCCTGCACCTGTCCCACTAGCGGAGATGGGACTTAGGAAGTGGGGCTAGCACTCTAACTTTTATAGAATACTTGCAGGTCTTTCAGCCCCAGTCTGGGACGCTGGGAATGCTTCCTTTCCCCAGCCTCAGCCTCTCCAACGATGAGGTGAAAGGAAGCAAAGAAACAAAGATGCTCTCCTGATTTATAGTGCTTAGGGTCCTTTGAGAGTGAGGAGGAAAAGGAGGAGGGCCCTAAGCAATCCCTCAGGGCTCCATGGCAAAAAGGTTAGTACAACTCAGGTCACACACCCAGTTCGGTTCAAAAGTCACCCCCCTCCCCCTGGGCTTCTGGAGGCTCTGAAGGACCAGGGCTAAGTAGCTGGGAGCTATTTCCACAGCACTAGCAAGGACCTCACGAACTCCAGCAGACCCGGCCCCACACCCAGCTTTCCACAGACTTCCTGCTTTCACTGAGCAGGAAGGGTCCTAGCAGTTCCCTTCTTTACGGGAAGTAGCAAATCCCAATGGGCACATGGAACTTATAACTGAAGTTTTAGAAGAAAGCCGTTATCGCTAGGATTCAGCTGGGAAGCTGATTGCAGGAGGTCCGGTGCCTGATAGATGATTTAAAACTATGTGTGGAATAGATGAACGGATGAATGATTAGAAGGCTTACAGCACTTCTGTACTTTGCTTCCCTGGAGGCTCTTCAGAAAGTTCTGCCTTTTCCAAGAGTTATTTAAGCTTTCCTTTCAGGAAGTGTTCAAAGTTTCATATCTTACAAGGAAAAAGTGGTGTTCCTAGGGTTTTTTTTCTTTTCTTTTCTTTTCTGTTTATGCTGAGCAGGACCACAATACAACCACCAAACTTAATTGTGAATATCTCATTTGAGACTGGGAAAGGGTTTAGCACAGAAACTGGGCAAAGTGGGCTAAGGTCCTGTATTTACCCATCCTTCTCCTCTCCCTCCTCCTGCTTAGCACTGAGAGAGTGAACTGCTGACTCCCGCGCAGGCAATCTGCCCCTTTGTGAGAAGACCTGCTGTCTCTGAAAGGGCTCGGGCCCTCAGCCCCTCCTCGGGGCCCTTCCTGTGTGCACGTGGGTTTGAAAAGCTCATTGATTTCCATCCAAAGGGGCTAATTACATTACTTACAGTAAATAGCCGCCCTGCTGTCAGGTACGGCTGCCAAAGTGAGGGGGGTGTCTCCAGCTTAGTTCACTTGATTGGCTTCATTTTTGTGTGAAATTGTGTTTTATGAGCTGTATTCTGGCACCCGGAGGACCTTACAAGCGGCCAGTCTGCAAATAACATTATTTCTGACCCCGAGGAAGGAAAAAAAAAAAAGGAGGGGAAGCAGTAGAGTCTTGGGTTTCATAGAAGAGGCAACTCAAACAGCCTTAGATGGAGATGCTTTGGGACAGGAAGTCAAGCTGTTCTACCACGGGTGGCTTTTCCTCCCTTCCTCGCTCTCTTCTTTCTATCCCGCCTTCCTTCTCTCCTTCCTTCCCTTTTTCCTTCTTTCCCCTTTTCATTCTTATGCTTCCTTTTTCCTTTCTTTCTCGTTTCCTTTCTTTACCTTGCTTCTTCGCTCCTTTCATCTCTTTAGATTAGGCTACAGCTCTGCCTGGGGCTCCCCCGGGCGGAGGCAAGCGGGTCTGCCACTGGGAGGCTCCTCGAAAGTTTCCAGGATGTGTCAGGAAATAAGACTGGTGCACCTGGGCAAGTTCGCTGGGAGTGGAGGGGAGAAAGGAGCAGACAGCGTTCGGGCTTCCTTTTCTCTCTGGTTGAAGCTGGGTTCATTCTTGTCCCTGTGTCTGGATTCAGGCGCGTACAGGGCCTCTGGCTGCTTGAATGAATCCACAATCTCAGAGTATTGTGCACACTTTTTAACGGGGCTGGGAGGAGGGGCTGCCGCTAAAAAGAACAGAGGGTGACAGAACAATCTCAACTCTTGTGAGGACCAGCTCTGCCGTTGTGCTTGTCTATTCTCACCTTTCCCTGCTCCACAATGAGACGCCCCTCTCACGCCCTCCTGAGTGTGTGGGGCGCCTAGTTTTACAAGTCCCCCGTCTTTCCAGCGTAGTGGGAGGAGCATGCCATGGGGCCAGTGCCTAGACCTACAGGGACAGGTGCCAAGTTCATCGGCACCCTCCAGTCCCTTTCCACGTTGATGCGATTCAAATGGGACGCTGGAATCTCCCGCAGTTTTCTTCAAACTTCAATAGGTAAGAGAATAAACTTGAGTGGGTCAGGTTCTGTTGCATAATCATGTCTCAATGCCCATGTCCTGTCCTTTACTATCTAATTTTTCTGATAAGAAAACCAAAAGTACGCCGCAGAAAAGTAGGTGCTCCAAGCCCGTTTTTACTTTGGAGGATGCTCGGGAGTCTTGGAGGGTCGCGGGCTCTCAATGAGGTGAGGCAAAGAGATGAACTGAACCTTCAGCTGCTTTTAAAAAGTGAGTTGAGGAACAGGCGATGGAGAGGAAGGGAACAAGCACTAAGTTCTCCACTTCAGTGAAGTGCTTGAATTTCTGCCCAATCATTATACACTCTGAGTGACAGTCCCGCAGGCTGGGGATGAAAAAATCGACAAGGAGAAAACTAAGTTTGGAGTTGATATTCCGTGTGCTCTGAGCCAGGGTCTGATCTTGAACTGGGATCAAATAGAACGGCTCTCTGCCTCCTGCGTCAGGGCTCACACAATAAGGGCTCCTTTCCCCTTTTAAAACAAAGACTCCTTTTCCCCTTTAAAGCATGACTGCCGAGAACTCTTGGAAGGATATGTGGTGTGTGTGTGTGTGTGTGTGTGTGTGTGTGTGTGTGTGTGTGTATGCGCGCGCACGCGCCTTGCAAGCACACACACGAGTGTATTGTGGGGAGGCAAATGCCCCCTCCTCCTGCCTCTCCCCTCCGTCCCCCCACCCCTTTGTAATGTTTGTCCCTGCTAGCCCATCACCAGGGGGTTGAGAGGAGTATGACAGGTCTTTGTTGTCTGAATAAAAATCCGTGGCAGCTCCGGGGAGAGAACTCCTCCTACTAAATTATCAAAAATGGGCTGGCTTTAGTCTCTTAACAAATTGGACACAGCTCCGGCAGGAGCAGTCCCCAACCCAACCCATAGGCACTGCGAACTTGCGAGCAGCCAGGGACCGCTGAAAATAGCACTTCGTTTTCTTTCTTTGTGTTCTAAACTATTTTCTTTCTTCACCAGATTTTTGTCCCCCCACCCCACCCCCGCCCTTGCAGTTGTTTCCCATTAGTAACTCGATCTCTCACAGCAGAGAAGATTCGCCTTCTTCGCCCCCTTTCCCCTCCGCCCGTGTTTGTTTGTTTTCTGCACATCTCCTTCTGGGAGCTGCTGGAGCTTTATCCTCCCTCACCTCCTTTTTTGCCTTTTCTTCCCCAAATAGACCTATTTCTACCCTGTCTGCCTCTCTCTTCTTGGCTTTCTTCCTCTTGCGCTGTGTCCTTGCGCTCCTCCGCCGCGCAGCCCTCTGCAGTCCGGTTGCTCCTTTCTTCGGATGAGCTGAGAGCCCCGGGCGTGTTTATGGAAATAGTGGGGTGCCGAGCAGAAGACAACTCGTGTCCTTTCCGCCCCCCAGCCATGCTGTTCCACGGGATCTCCGGAGGCCACATCCAAGGCATCATGGAAGAGATGGAGCGCAGATCCAAGACCGAGGCCCGTTTGGGTAAAGGCGCTCAGCTCAACGGCCGCGACGCGGTAAGGACCGGCCCCTCCGCGGCAGCAGCCCGCCGCCCCTGCGCGCTCAGTTAAAGGAGCTTGGATTCCCGGGCCGCGGAGGCTGGGGTTGGCGGGCTGTGGGGAATACTGCTTGAGGACGTCCGCTGGGTTCTCTCCCTTTCACCTAGGTCTGCCCTAAGGCTCCCCTTCTGACTTCCAGCGCCTATGTTCCCCCAACCCCAAGGTCGCTACCCTCGTAGCAACTGTTCCCTAGCAAGCAGGGTGAGCCAGGAGTGGGAAGGGAGGGGGCTCCTCTTATGCAAACCTCAGTCTCCAGTTTCCAATCTCCCTGGACTCCCGGTGCCTCCTTGGGCGAGATTCCGCAGCCTCGAGTGCAAGCTGGGCGCATGCGATAGGAGGACCCCTTGCAGCCGAGGCGCCTGGGCCAAGCAGGAGCCTCGTAGCCTTAGTCTCGGCCTGAGGACCGGATCTTTGGAGGGGACCTAAACGTCACCGGCCCATTTCCAGTTCTCTGAATGCTTGAGGCTTGGCGTCCCAAACCCAGAGATTTTCAGTCCTTTGCACCCCAGTTTTGCCTTTAGTTCACGGGGAGGAGGAAATCGTAGAAAAATTGCGGAGGAGCGGGGCACCTACACCAAATCCAAGAACTTTCTAACCTTTAAATGAAGTACTCAACTACCACTATTATTTATAACAATAAAAGTCACATCCTCTTAGAGAAATCGCAATCTAAGTGCTTCTCTTTTCCACTTATGAGCCAGACGAAGAGAACTAGCGAAGTCTCCGGAAATGACTCCAGCCAAACAGTGCTGTGTAGAGTAAATGCTCCGCTATCACAAGGAGAATTGGAGCTCAAACTTACCCTAGGGGGAAAAAAAACCTTCCCCGGGAGACCACTTTAGCCGGGTCTGGCGGTGCCAACTAGCCGAGTGGGTAGATGTACTTTGGCTTCAGACATTAATTCAGCACAGGTATCTAATCTGTGTAAAGAGCAAAACTTTTCCTCCCTAGGCCCGCCAAAATTTCGTGAAGAATTTCAACGCATTTGGAGGAGTTTTGAGGAAAAAGTTTAGGAATTAACTTGTTTCCCCTTTTGTGATTATCCTATTTAAAAATAAAAGGCAGCAACCAAACCCGGGGCTGGCTCTCCAAGGTGAGATTTATCATCCTCCATCGCCTCAGTGGGACCCCATGGGAAGCTTCATGTCGGTACCAAACAAGATTTGTCAGGACCAGGATTTTCCCGTTTATGCTGATGTCTGAGAAAGAGGCACTGGGCAGAGGGGACTGGACAGTGGTCCAGCTTTAGAACTAGCCACTTTACACCCTTACGAGGAAGGAACCAACAGCCCTGAAAATTAGCGAACAGAAGAATCTGCCATTTATATCCCAATCAAAACAATGCCGACCAAGTTGTGAGTACGATATAATACTTCCTTTGATTTTCATGTTATCGCTGCCTAAACAAAACTAAAGAAGGAATTCTAGGTTTTTGTGCAAAAATTTTTGAGCTAGTTCAGATTTCCTTTCCACTTCCCCAATAATAATACATTATTTTATTTTATGTATTTTCGAAGCCACAGTGTTCAGCTTAGAAGTATTCTAGTTTTGGGAACACCCACCAAAACTATTGTCAATAGGCGCTCCGTCTTTCTTGAGCAAGGGTCAAGCCGGTTAAGATGTCTTCAGGTCCCTAGTACCTGAACGATGCAAAGGCGCATTCAGAGAGACACCCAAGAAAAGGACGGCGCGGCAAAGGCAGCGACTGCAAAGGTTTACCGAGGTTTCCCACTGTGCCAGGGCTGCGGCCCCCGGCGCGGTCCCCTTGCGCGCTGGGCTCGCGCTGCCCAGGGGTCCCCGCGTTGTGCAGCGACGCGCTCTCCTCAGCCCGCGTGTGCTTGCTTTGCAGGGGATGCCCCCGCTGAGCCCGGAGAAGCCCGCTCTGTGCGCGGGGTGCGGGGGCAAGATCTCGGACAGGTACTACTTGCTGGCCGTGGACAAGCAGTGGCACCTGAGGTGCCTGAAGTGCTGTGAATGTAAGCTGGCGCTGGAGTCGGAGCTCACCTGCTTCGCCAAGGACGGCAGCATTTACTGCAAGGAGGATTACTACAGGTACGTATCCACCCCTGCGCAGCGCTCCGCACGCCCAGGATGCAGGGCACGGGCGCCACCCCTTGCCCCAGTTCTCCCCTCTCAGCGCCCCACCTTTGGGTACTGTTGTCTTTCCCGAGACCCGGGAAAGTCACTGCGTTTGTCTGCAAGCCGCGGTGGTTCCCCTCCCACCCCGGGCGGGCAGTGAGCGGGGCGTCCGAAATCCAGAGCGCTCCCAGCTCAGTCGCCAAATTCTGGAAAAAATCTGAGAATCTGAGGAAGAGTAAACTAACCGCAGACGGAGGCTTGAGTCCCGTTACCTTCTCCCCTCCCCCGCTTATTGCGAACTGAGCAGCTTACGCGCTTGGGAACCGAACTGGTGGCCCAGGCAGTAGCCCGTGGATAGCTTGGCAGGCAGTTGACCTTATAAATGGCTATGACAAGGAGTAAGCGCTGCTTCCCAAACCCAAGTCTCTCAGTTCAGGGTTCCCTTTGCTGTTGGTTTGCACCAGACTATAGAAAAAACAGTTGCAGTAGCGTTTATTGATTCTTCTGGATTGGGAAAAACAGCGCTATGTACAGGTGATCGAACTGCACTCTCAGCGGATGCAAGAGAAGTGGTTAAAGAGGAATAACCTTTCCTCCGCAACGCTGCTATAACCCAGGTTTGGCTGTCTTGAGGCGCAATCGTTTTGGAATATCTTCCTTCACAGAATATTTTTTAGTTAAGGAAGCTGTTTACTTTGGCACTGTAGTTTAATATTTTCAACAGCGCTGTGAATTCGATACCGTGGGGGGTTTTAAAAACCTTTTTGTAGAGGAAGAAATTGAAGCTCAGCATCCAATTCTTGCTTTACGGTAAGGATATTTGCCCTGGTCCTGTAGAATCAGAAGAGGTCAAGTGAGCAAATAAAACGAATGTCCAAAGAGGGCCCAAGTATCTTGATCTTTTGGAGCCCTCCTGTCTCAGTCTTTGGCCATGGCAGATCACGCCCAGGTATTGTGCGGGTGGGAGATGACCGTCCTTGCGTGCACCAGAGCCCTGACTCTTCCGTTTCCTTCCAGAAGGTTCTCTGTGCAGAGATGTGCCCGCTGCCACCTTGGCATTTCTGCCTCCGAGATGGTCATGCGCGCCCGAGACTCTGTCTACCACCTGAGCTGCTTCACCTGCTCCACCTGCAACAAGACCCTGACCACGGGGGACCATTTCGGCATGAAGGACAGCCTGGTGTACTGCCGCGCCCACTTCGAGACCCTCTTGCAAGGAGAGTATCCACCGCAGCTGAGCTACACGGAGCTGGCGGCCAAGAGCGGCAGCTTGGCCCTTCCTTACTTCAACGGCACCGGCACCGTGCAGAAAGGGCGGCCCCGGAAACGGAAGAGCCCGGCGCTGGGAGTGGACATCGTCAATTACAACTCAGGTGGGTCCCTGTCCTTACCCGGTGCAGCCAGGGGCCGGTCCGGGCTGTCTAAGGAGGATTGAGCCCCTTGCCTGTCCAAGAACTGGCTGCAAGAGGATGCTATGCCCCACGTGCCTCTGTTCTCACTCCCCTTCTCAGTGTGAAGAAAGAAAGAAGAGGGAGAGAGAAACAGGGAAAGCGACCACACTTTATTGAGGTTATGGCAAGAACACATCCAAAACCATCGGACTGCAGTGACTTCCCCCCACAGGCAGAGCCAAAGCCTGGTTGCCCATTAGTTAATGAGCCCATTAGTTTCTGGCTCCCAGTTGGACCAAAACAGCCCCAGGCCAGTTCCTTTGTGGAAGCCAAATTATAGATCTAGGAGGAGGTTTTCCTAAATACTGCAGGAGGGAGGGACTTCAGGGCCCAGCCCCAGTCTGTCTAGAGGGGGCAGAGGCTGTAGTCACCAGCCCAAAGTTAATCAGCAACACAGTTGGCAAGAGTGTTGAAAAACTGAATCCCTGATCTTGGCAAAAAGCAGTGGTAGGGGCAGGAATCTCTCCATTGCTGAGGGGGCCTGTGCCTCTGGTAGGTCAGGGGATTCATCCAGCCCACGCATTCCCCATGTGACAGTGCGTCCAGACATCCAGGCCCCCGCCAAGCGACTCCAAGCCTGGCCCACCGAGCAAGCCTAGTGGGGTCTCACGCTGCTCTTTTGTCTTCCAACAGCCTTCTCTTAATTAAAAACAAAATGCAGGCAACAGCCTGAGAACACACTTCCTTCCTTGCTCTAGGGGACACACCTATCGTTCACCAATCTGTTTCACACCCCTCATCAATTTCCCATTGTTTGGTGGCCAGTTCCTATTTCCCATCTCCTAGGTAAGGATGTTGACAGGCCCTGGGGACCATAATCTTATGCTAAGGCAGAAGCTTTTCTAGTGAGTCCCAGTCCTTGGGAAAAGGGTAAATCGCTCTGACTAACTTTGGGGAGCCTAGGGGCCTTGACTGCTTCGACTTCACATGCTTGGCCAAGACCTGTCAGAGAATCTCAACAAGCAGGAGAGGCAGGCCAGGGGCAGCTACTCTATGGGAAGGGACGTTGGGGACCACTTATTGTAGCCACTCTACTCTCCTCTCCACGAGCTCCCAGATATCCTGGCAAGATTTGGGTAACCTAGAGCACACACTGTGCCTATTTTTTTCTTTCAGTTCCCAGCGCCTGGCATGGGGCGTGATGTTGTTGCTGAGTGGTAAGGGAGCAATGCCCAGCCCGTTAAAGATCCACGTAAGGTCACACAGCCAATGTGAATGGAGGGGAGAGTTTTCAGAGCAAGCCTGTAGGATGAGCAAGCACACCCATCCCTCTGCCTAGGTTCTCTCCCTTCTGAATCAAGTGGATTGATTCAGTCAAAGCAGGTAGCATTTTAGAGTGGGGATGCAGAACCCAGCAAAGCTGCATTTGTCCTGAGCAGGGTCAGCCTAAGAAGACTGGGCGGACTGGCTTTGCACAGCGTCCACTAGAACCAGTTTGTGTGAGGGCAGTGGGCGCAGTCTTGGGTTTTTCCAACCCTGGGCAGAGGCAGCCACAGCAGGCAGCATCGCCTTTTCCCTTCTCGCTGGCCCCTGCTGTGCCAGCCAGTGGCTTGGTTAGGGGCCACTTTGCACAGCACACTTACTTCATCTCCTTTGATGCGTGGTCCCCAGGGCAGGACAGGCAGGGCACTAATTGTTCTTTATTAATAGAAGATGACATTGGAATGTCAAGCCACTCAGCAGGCCTTAATGCCAGAGAGAGAGAGAGAGAGAGAGAGAGACAGAGAGAGAGAGAGCAAGAGAGAGAGAGAGAGAGAGGGAGGGAGGGAGGGAGGAGGGGCGAATATAAATGCGAACTGCACCTAGAATCCTTAGGAGAGAGAGGAAGGATCTCTCAGTCCGATAAAAGTCCAGAAGGGTGGAGGCTTCTAGTCCAACTGCAGGCAAGCCTGGCTTTTTGGCTGTTTATTTAATCTAATTAGATAAATTTGATTTTTGCCTGATTTTATGTTAGAAAGCTCCAAGGGACTTTAAGAACAATAAAATTCAGTCTCTCTTAACTTTTCTGAAGAGGACTAGAGTGCAAATTTATTTCTTAAAAGAATGATGATCTCCTCCTGAGCCACTTTAAACCTTTACTGTCGAATCAATGCTGCCACAAGTTTGTTGAGTAAGTTGATGTCTTGCTCAAGATAGAGGGGAAAGTTGCGTAGGGCTGCCTAACCTGAAGAGTTTGTACCCGACTCATTCCCCTACAACCCCTTAATTAATGTTCACTCCAGCCTTTCTGGACTTTTCACAGAGATAAAAGTAAATAGCATGTATTCCTTTAAGGTTAGGCAAAATAATTTAGAACAATTGCTTGACCAGATACCAACCCCATTTCAAGAGTGTTATAAATCCACTGTCAGTTTGTTATAAAACTAGGGAAACCCTTCATCAAGTTAAAGACATTAAAATACAGAAAAATGTTCCCATTTTCATTGTTTTAACTAATTATTTTAGGCTTCTTTAGATTTTATATTGCCATTTCTGCTTAAATGTGAACTCACAAAGGGTACCATTGATATAAAACAAAATATACACTATGTAGTGACATGTTTTAAAAAACCTGTATATAAAACAAATTTATAATTTAAAGAGTTCAGAGATGTGAAAATTAACAGAGTTCAATTGTTGAAATAAGGCAAATGCTCTTACTTCGAATGTTCCTAATTTAGATTATGCCTCTGTGCAAATTAATCAAGCAGGTAGTTTAGAAAAAGACATGGAATGTTTATCTGGAATACTGGATTGAAATAAAGCTGTTCAGGGTGAGAAAGCTTAGTCTCAGATAGACAGATTATATTGGCATTAATTAAGACACTCATTTTTTGCAGCTTCTCAAAAGTCTTTCCTTACGTTCTTTCTACCCCAACTTGCAAGCGCCTGGTTGTTGTTAAATTAGCCTGGTACTGACCCCTAGCGGTCTCCCTGGAATCATTTAATTCTCAGAAGGTTACAAACCTTTAGAAGGAAACTTGTTTAGATAGGTGACTATCTCATAAGTGACTGAAAATAAACTTTTTAGATCTCATTTATTTTAATAATGTCAGATATATACTTACAGGTGAAATTTTGAGACAATTGAAAAAGTTATTTAATCTCTTAATTCAGGGGGAAAATACCTCTAAAGCTTTAGAAATTCTGGATTATGGGGAAACACAATCATTTGCAAGTTTACTTATTGCATTTGTAGCTAAACCCAAATAATTTAGAATGGTGAACTGAACTACTTGGTGGAAGAAATATATTTATTTCCCTATGTAGTTGTATAATATGTGATAACATAGTCACATGAAAATTGTATATAGTAATATCTGTTTAATAAAGATCTGATGATCTATCTTCTTATACAATGAATTGTGAGCTTCATGTGGAAACGGACCCTCTAATTCTACTTAAGGCACTAAAATACTTTACTAAGTTTTAAATCACCAATAATCAATAGAGTACATATTCAGGAAAGCAATTTATCAAATCTTAGTGCAATTACTTTTCATAAAATTCATTTTAAAGACCAATGATTAAATAGCTAGGTTGGGGATTATATTAATTTCTCAGAAATATTACCGTGGGGCAGAGGGAATGGATAAGGGCATTATTTAAGCACTGCATTAAGGGTTTTGCCCTGAGTGTAATATACTGAACTTGATGTGTAGTTCAGGAGAAGTTGCTCACATATGATAGGAATGAAATCTTATTTGAACAAACCTTGATGACTCACGTGTGCCTCTTTGACCATTTTGTTGGGGGTACATTTACAGTCTGGCTGTGAAATATGGCTCAGTTTACCAGAGATAAGTATAGTTTTATAGTAGGCCATGAGATGTTGTTTCATCCATTTGAGAATATGAAAGTGCAATCCTAGAGACTATTTGAACTTGACATATCCTTACTGGGCTAAAATACAATAAAATGTAAAATATATTCTCTCTGTTATCTCTGGGTATATGTTACTATTTCTGCTGAGTGAAAAAAGGTTTTGTTTGAATGTTCATATCTAGCTTGGATTCCATTTCAGTTTGGCTTGATATTTTTATTCACCTGTAATTTTACTGATGAACAAAGATTTCAAAATCTTGATTAAATGCTTGTTGCATTTCTGGCTTTGTGCTTGACTCAAGGGACCCAAGTGTAATGCACAGTCCTTTCTCTCAAAAAACTCATCTGCTCTTTGCCAAATGTATGTCTTCCCACTTAGTCATCTTACAAAAATTTAAACCAAGGAAAGAGTTCGTGCTTCATCATCTTATTACATTAGGGAGAATTTCTTCTTAAATGAGTTTTATATGCAGCCAATTTCTTGGTTGATGACTATGAACCTGTAGTGTTTCTGTATATATACTGATTTGCTGGATAGTTTTAAAAGGTAATTCTAATCAGACCATAGGGGGCAGATAATACTTTATTGAGCAAAAAGGGAGCGCCACTATTGAGATGCCTCATCTGGTTTCAGTATTCAAGTTTTTGCCTCTGCCAAATGGCATGATAAGTTTGATTTTAAATAATACACTGAAAGGGAAGGTGACCAGTTATGAATATACATCAGATAAATATAAAAAATACAGGTTCAAACAAAACAGGCTATTGAGTTTGTGAAGTTGGTGAAATCAGTAAGTAATGATTTCATTTTGTAGTCATATTTCCTACCGGAGCCAGTAGGTTTGGGGAAATGACCATTTAAATGTATAGCTTTATTCTGGGGATAATGACTTTTTAACTGGTTTCAAAGGGTGACTTGTTTTGCCCTTGTTGCCAAGGAGGGCATTGGAAGAGGAGGGAAGATGCAGTCCTTTCTGCTGATTAGCCAGTAGCTCAGCTTGCATCCCATTCAATATGCATTCAGAGAAAAAGGGGCCAAGATCTGAGCCTAGGAATAAGCACCATCAGTGTCTCAGCTGTGAGCTGTGGGGAGTGCTTCAGGCATGATCCAAGAGAGAAGAAGGCTGGGCTCATTCTCTTTAGAAATATTCATTAGAATAACTCCAAGGGAAAAAATATTTTCTTCCTGTATAACCCTGTGCTAACCTGTTATAATTAAAAGCCCTGAAACATATTTTTATGCTTTCATAAGAAATTCAAAAATATTTCTCACATCTCCCTCTTTTCCAACCCTTTTCTAACTTCTTCCTGACCATGGAAGCTGTAAGAATATGAGAAAATGCTAGAAATTGGAAATGATGTACATTCTCTTACACTTGGTGGGCTCTTACAGATTTCAAAGTTGAGAACTGAAATGCCCGTTTGACACATCCTATGCCATAAACAGCAATGCCTTCAGACAGGCCCGTTCCAGAAACACAGACAAAACATAGAGTCTTAAAATATGGTATGAATATGGGGGGATGGGGTGCTGACATACGTAAATATATTAGAAAAGGATTTCTTTCTTTTCTCTTGGAGGTCCCTCTCATTCCCACTTCCCAGTTAGGGTTTATTCACTTTCCCAACATTTTCTACCAACCTTTAAGAAAAACAAAGTATTTATCTAATATTTTTCCATTGTGTAGTTGTGTCTACATTGACTGACAAGTTTGCTTGACTCTGGCAACTAACTCCTTTTTGTCTACACACTGTTCACAATTGGGATGACACTCTTTTTCCTCTATGGCTTTACTATCATAGCAGAATCATGCAGCCTCCATCATTTCAGTTAATGCAGGAATCTACTGAGCCACTGTTTGTTCCCGTTCCTGCAACAGGTTGTAATGAGAATGAGGCAGACCACTTGGACCGGGACCAGCAGCCTTATCCACCCTCACAGAAGACCAAGCGCATGCGAACCTCCTTTAAGCACCATCAGCTCCGGACCATGAAATCCTACTTTGCCATCAACCATAACCCGGATGCCAAGGACCTCAAGCAACTTGCTCAGAAAACAGGACTGACCAAAAGAGTTTTGCAGGTAAGACACCTCCTCATTGGCTGTGCATACATCTCCCTTCCCCTGCCAGTGAATAGTTCTCTTCCCTATCAGCTCGACATGAATATGTTTTGTTCTGCTTCTTATTAGTTTATCTTAGTTATCTCCATAGAGGGTATGCTGAGATTTTGCAGGGGCTTGCTGCAGGCTACTCAGAGAGAGACCCAGGGTCTTTTAAGATGCAGCCACATTCTCCCTTCAGATGAGGAAAGGGTCTCCAAAGCCGGCACAACTTGCTGGCACAGCTTGCATTGCTGTGCTAATGCAAGTGATGTTATTTGCTCAAGTCCTAGCTCTAGAGATTCCCGGGCACAGTAGGCTCAGGGCAGCAGTATGTGAGGTATCTGCTGGCACTATCCTACTGCAGCATGCTCTCAGCTGCCTCACCCAGATGTGATGATCTTCCAAATCCCGGTGGACTCTCTCCTCCCCCAACTCCTGAAAAGCCAAAAATATAGTTAGCATGTCAGTAACCAATTGGAGCAAATACTGTTCCATTTTAATAGATTGTAATGAAAGACTGGGAGTTAGTTCTGTTGTCCAAATGCCTCCCCAAATTCATCGTGGTAAGACTATACACTGTGAAATTATAATGGCTTGCTGTGACCAAATTACAGATGTTTTACTTTTGATAAATTGTTTCCGGCTGTTTTGAGTCTGTAGCCTGGGAAGACTTACTCTTGTAGCTTAAACTGTTTCAAAGATGTTCATGTCATATCAGTGGTTTTTACTTTGCAATACTTTTAGTGCCCCTGCATCTCTCATTCTCAAAAGACAATTGTGGAATCAGGGTATTTCCCCCTTTTATCTCTGTGCCTTTATTTCCTTGGTATCTCCATTTAAGCATCAGTTGTCCCAATAGCACTTGTTAATGCTGGTGTGATCACCTTCCAAATTGGCTGGGGGGGGGAGTACGTGCAGTTAGAGAATACACCTGTAGTTTTACTAGAATTAGTCTGTTTTAAAAGAGAAGAAAAAAGCCCTTTCCCTCCCAAAGACAAGAAGAAATATTTCAAAAAAAAGAGGAAATAGGAAAAAAGAAAGAAAAAAAAAAAGTAACGAAGCAAGAGAGAAAACAATATATAAAAATAAACATCGGTAAAGAAATCAATTGGGATTGGTTTGCAGGTTTGGTTCCAAAACGCAAGAGCCAAATTCAGAAGGAACCTTTTGCGGCAGGAGAATGGGGGTGTTGATAAAGCCGATGGCGCGTCGCTTCCGGCCCCGCCCTCAGCAGACAGCGGAGCTCTCACTCCACCCGGCACTGCGACCACTTTAACAGACCTGACCAATCCCACTATCACTGTAGTGACATCTGTGACCTCTAACATGGACAGCCACGAATCCGGAAGCCCCTCACAAACTACCTTAACGAACCTTTTCTAACATTGGTTTATTTTTTTTAAACTCTTCCTCTTCTTTTCATTATTCTAATTATTATTATTTTATTATTTACAAGACTTTTTTTTTTCCTTCTAACCCATAAACTATTTGGGGAATAAACATAACAGCTTGGTGTGTAGCATCTGCAGCCACTTGGCAAATGAGTTTACAGTTTTGTCTCCTTTAAGAAACGTAGTTTTTCTGCAAAGTGTATTTGGATTTTTTTTTCTCTAATTAGGTCTCTTAGTCGGTGACAGGAGTTTTGAATCATTCTAATAAGTGCCTCTTAAAATTGTATGTTACTTATTTCCAGAATCTAGGAGAAAAAAAAAAATGAGTGGTATAATGACGGGCAAGTAATCATATTTCCGCTTCAGTGATTAGAACAATGAATCAGATAATTAATTAGTTATTTTAAAAATCTTGTAACTATGTATCATTATGGAACTTTGAAAATTGCACATTTTAAAAGCTTTAAAACTGAAAAAATGTACTGAGTATTCCTATTTCTTACCCGAACTGTTAATTCCAACGAAGAGTGTGATTTAAAAAAGACATTAATGATAGTCATTTTAAATCGTCACTATTAATTAGATGGGAAATGAACTCCAGAAATTTTCCTTCTCTTAGAAATTACAGTCCCCATTTTTTTTTACTTACTTATTTCCTTTTCAACATTTAAAAAATTAAACTCCCTGTGTATCCATGAAAATTCCCACTAGAATTTTTAGCTCTATACTTTGATCTCCAAAAGCTAAAAAAGAGACAAAAACGCCACCGAATAAACAACAACAAAATCTAAAAATCTCTGAAACTCTTCTTTCCACTTTACTTTTTTTCCTAGGGAAAATGGAAATAAGCAAAATATAATTTTTTAAGAAGTCAAAAAATTTGGTATGTTTTAATTAATAACTCTATTAATTGGCTTCAGCTGTACCATGATATTGTATCTGACATTCTATATAAATACTTAAAAAAAAAAAAGATTTAGTAAAGTAACACCAACAAGGATAAGTCTTTGGCTTTGTTTTGCTTTATTTTATTTTTGATCTATATTGATTCATATATATATATAAAAACTTTTCTGACATTACAGATTTGAAATTAGTCTTAAAGTAGATAAACTCAGAAGCCTTGTGGATGCTGATCTGAATATATTTCCTAGTTTACAGTAGCATTTTTTCCTTTTAATTTAAGGTAAAATCTTAATGGTCTGGGCAGTGGTGAATGTTCATCTATATGCTTCTGTTGTAGTTAAATACCAATTAGATTGTGGATTTCCTAAAAAAAATAAAAATAAAAAAGAAGTCAAGATATATGTCTTGCTTTAGTGGATTGTTAAGAATAATTTTGCACATATTCTCCACTTTTTTGGACTCCTTAAATCTCCTCTGGTGGTCTCGGTGGCTATTTAATAGATTTTAAAGATATCCTCTGGCTGTATAAATGTGTGGTTACATATTGACAGTTCACTGCCCACATTAAAGTGCATTATTGTAACTTTTGCTCAGGGTCTTTAGAAAATTAGCACAGAAAGTAGCTTATTTTTAAAAAAAAGATGATGGAAGATAAGTTAACACTGTAACAGAAGAAAGGTGTGATTGCCATTATATATTTAGCAAGTGTGGTTATCATCTTATATGGAGCTTAAATCTTGACTTTTCATATTTCTATTACATTTTGGGCATTTACCACTAACCAGACCAAACAACCTTGGTAAGGCTGAGATCTTATTAATACACTTTTACAGGTAAAATATTGATACTTATAAATTTTGTTCTTTGACAGAACAATATATGGTACTATAGATCTACTTTATTAAGTAGACTAATTATAACTCAGTTCTCCTATGTGCCTTATGATATAACTTGGAAGTAAGTTTGTGAAAAATCAGGATTATATGTGTTGTTTGTTAAATTAACTGTTTTAAGCCCTTTTGACACCTCACTAGTTTTGTACTGTTTTACCTCTTATTTCTGAAACTCTTTTTATGGTGTATCCTGTTAGAGGGGACAAACATGTCATAGAAAGCAGTTGTGCACTCTTTCAAATATAGTTGATAAATTCAATAATCTTATATATTGAACTTCGTGTTTATAGTACAGTAAGTGGTCTAGCAAAATTGTCCATGTTTCTTTGTTTATTGATAAATGCATTGTATAGAAACTATTTCCCCTAAATATTTATGGACCAAACAATTGTGATATATCCTATTAAATTTGTGTGAATAAACCATTTTGAATCTAAGGAGTTTTATTTCCCATCAGTTTTATTTAAATTTTACTGGTTTTAGTGTCTTTTTGCTCTCTGTGTGTAAAAGCTATTAAAATGATACTATAATCTTTAAATGTTCAAACATAAAATAGTTTTAGATTGCCAGGCTTCTGATTCATATGAATTGCACACACCATTGCATATGCAATGTCATCCCATCTTGAATTACCTTTAAATATATTTGCTTATAATAAAAGTAATGCCCCACCAATTTGACTCCAATTTTCCGAATAAAAAATAAATTTAGCCTATAAAGTAATTGCATGAAAAGAAATCTTAAATATGATTAAGAGTTAATGTTAGGTCTATTGAGCAAAAATGAATATTTGTAAGTCTAAATAGAAATTGCAGACCCCTAAAAGCCAAGTTGCTCTGTAGTTAATAAATTGTCACTATGATTTTTTTCAGGGAGAACAAATCTTGGGGCATTACAGCCAAACATCCCGACGTTTGAAAATTCCCTAAAGTATTAAAAGAAGGGGAAAAGTTTGATCGGAAATCCACTGCAGTGAAGACAAAGACACTATTAGGTTATGATAATCATACATTTAAAAATTTATTGAGCCAAAAACAAGATAGAGAGAGAGTGAGACTTAAATGTCATTTATTGAATGTTAACAAAACTTCTGTTCTTTATGATGTCTAACACAAAGGCTTAAAATTACGTGATTTTTAAAAAATTGATAAACTATGTATAAACCAGAGCAACCTGGCAGTAATATGCCCACTCCATATTTGGAGAAAACTATTACTGAAAAAAAATCCCACACATTTGTCAAGCACAATAGTTGTAAAATAAAGTCCAGAAACATTCATTTCACCTGCTTGCTAATATGTATTAGTCCTATCTGTTAACGGCATTTTCCAGTTGTAAATTCAGAGAAAAGCTATCACTCATTTAAGAGTATAGGGATCAAAATGCAGTCATTTTAGTATTATTGTTTATTACTTCCTTTTTAAACAGAAGTCTCATGCATGCACTTTTACATCTGTCACCTCTAGTGTACATCTCTGTAATGATGACTTATCTTTGCTGTTTCTTGTATGATAGCTTTCATTAATAAACATTTTATTTGATGCAAAAATAGTTAACTTTATGTTAAACACACACTGTTGAAATTAATTTTGAACACTATCTTAAAGAGGCAGCACTGTACATTTACAATTTGTTATACTTAGAAAAGAATTCAAACCATACAATGAGGTGAAATTGTGGTAGTGTAGGATGAAATTACTTGGTTTTTAATTTTCATGACTTAGTTTTTATATTGAGTTGATACATAAAAAATAAAAGTGCAAACCCAAACTATGACAAAAACAAACCTCAGAATAAATTATTGTGTAAAATTTCAACAACTTTTTTAGATTATTAGGATAAAATATGTAGGTCCTGTATGAGTTTACGTGTTCACTATGCAATGAACAAATTTATTGAAGTATACAAATATATTCTGAACTATAAAAAGATCCAATCTTTGTATAGTTCACATTACATTGATATTACAAACAAAGGAGCAGGTGGAAAGAAAAATCATTTAGGAATGAGGTTTTTTTTTTAATTGCTAAGGAAATATTTGAAGAAAGAATTTTTTAACTATTCCTGTTCAGCTGTATATCCAAAGCATATGTTAAAGAAACTAACATAAAATACTTTCCAGAAAATTTTTCATTATGATAAAATTTTTATTATATACAAATGAACCCTATGTAAATGATGTAACTTTTATGAATAACAGACATTAAATATTTCACTTACATATATTCTCAGAATTTTGAATGTTTTCTTAAATGATTTCTCCTCTGAATACTAAAGAAAGAAAAAAATTAGAGAAAGGGAGAGAGGCAACTTACTACTACTTGTGCTCCTACTGAAGAGCAATGCACCATGACAAGTAGGCTCTTTTGAATGATCATGGAACATGTTGGTTTTGTCAGTAACTTGAATGTTTAGGCCTCACTGAAACCTCATCCATGACTATAGCAACATACATAGATTTTTCCAATGGATTCTCAGCCAGTTTATTCACATCTTTGTCCTATAAGCTCTGCCTCCTTCGCCTGCTCTGTCACCTATGGCAGTTTCATTTAGAAATAGTTTGGAACCTTGCCTGGCATTACAGAGCTTTAAATATTTGTCTGGTATGTGAAATGTGGGAAGAGACCAAAGAGGAAAGAACACAACCGAAATTAGATATTTAAAAAAAATAGTACAAATTCAAAACAGACACATTTTTAAAAGGAAAGGAAAGGAGTGCTGATTGTGTAAGTAGAAGAGGGGGGAAAAACTTATGATGTGGAGTTGGACGGCTCATCGTGCTTTCCTATAACGTGCAGCAGTCCTTGAGGCGGGGCAACTGTGAGCTGATTGTCTGGCATAGAATAGAAAATGTGGAGTTCTTAGATGGATGCAGGGCATCAAGTTTTTATAGCTTCTACCTCCCAAATGCCTGTGTTAGTCTAACTTCTGGCTAAAATGATTTTGGGCAAAAAAAAAAAGCTTTACTGAGAGTTAGTATCTGTGAGCTTTGGTTGAATAGCCACTTAAAGGTAGATTTGCTTGGGGGTAGGTTTTCAATACCTCAAATAATGACAAAGCTTCATAATAAAGAAACCAAAGCAAACACCCTTAAAATCTCAGTCATCTATCATTACCTAAAAAGTCGATGGCTTTATTTAACAAATCCTAGTGGAATCTCCTGTACATTTTTTTTTTCATTAAGCAGGTACAGTAGTGTGCCTGCAAAGGGTGTTTTGGTGGACAGCATTAGAAGTGAAAAGTTCTGAAATGGATGTTTGAACACAATGTCACTCTAGGCTCTTAAGGGGAATATTAAGGATAATGCAATTGTGAAAAATAAATATAAAACACCTAATTTTGTATGGAATTTTGCTATTTAATTTTTAACTATATTACAAATGAAGTTAGCTTAACTTAGAGTGTGCACTGGCCAGGTCATTCGGTACACTTTGCATTTGATGGTCAGACATCAGGGGACAAGAAGGATGCTAAGATTCAGTTTAAATTGGAAAAAATGCCATTGTATTTCGTTTGAAACTGAACATAGATACATTCTATATTGGCCTTGTGGATCTCTTTTCTATTTTTAGTGATAGAGAATCAATTTTGAATACTGAAATTAAAATCAAATCCTGATGCAGGATCATTTACTTTACAGTATCAAAATAAGAAGTTATTTTCTTTATGATTAATTATTGCCCTCAAGCATTTTAGAACTCATACTTTGCTCCTATT